TAGGTCTCATCTTGGGGACCCACCTTCCTGTTTCAGTTTGTGTGGGTCTTATCTTGGGGACCCACCTTTCATTTTAGGTTTAGGAGGAGAGTAGACAGGTGCTTTGTGATTGAACAGTTGTTTCTTCAGTTTAGTTTTGAAAATCTCCTCTTTAGAAAGCCGATTAAGATGTTTCCTTGAATGAACTCTAAGAGAATATTTCATATCGGGAATACAAAACGTTCCCTTAGAAGTTTTTTTCTTGGTTTCTCTTTCAGGTTTGAGCTTTCTAAAAGGCTTTGATTTAACAACATTCGCATCACATTCATAATTTTGAGGGTCTGGAACAGAATAACCATAAGCAATAGTAGAATTATACATTGAGCCATGTTCAAAAGATCTCCCAGAGTTTTTCAGCTTGGGACTCAAGACTGAACTACTAGAAGCTGAGTTTACAAAGACAGACTTAGACTTAGTTTTAGAGTACAAAATGGAACTGGATCTGGGACCAGGTTTATTCTCAAAAACTTTCTTCTTGCCAGCAGCTATTTTCTTTCTTTTTATCTCCCACTCTTTCTTCTCTTCTCCTCTTCTTTTCACTTCTTGTCCTGTGACAAAAGGAGAAGAGCGATGAGTGGCAGATTTTTCAGAAGATTTAATTTTATCAGAAGAGGTTTGAGCAGTTTTTAAAACAGAATGATATTTTTCACTCAATTCATCAAATTTGCTTAACAGTTCTTGCCAATTGCTTTCAGAACTTTTCTTTTCAGTTTCAAAACGCTCTCTCTCATTGTCCAGGGTTTTCTGAAGATCCGCATATTTTTGGACCAACGGAGAGATGCATTTGTCCTGTCCGGACTTAAAAATTCCAGTTTTGGGGATCTGCAAGCTCAGCTTCAAGATCAGTTCCTTCTTCATCGCTCTCATCTTCATCAGATTCAACCTCCACTACTTTCTTCTTCTTCTTCTGCAGAGGTTTCGCTGTTCTTTTGGGCTGAGCTTCCATCAGTAGAGCTAGAGGGTTTGGGTTTGATTGTTCCTCAGTGCATACAACGTCATTGACGAACTCCTTTAACAGCTCATTTAAGGTGAAGAGATCAATTTCATCCATGTCAATGCGTTGTCTCAAGTCCTTTACCGTTTTACTCCAAGATGGGTGCAGACTAGACAGAAATCTAGTATTCAGTTCCAGGTTGGTTTTGAATATTTTGATTTTCCTCATTTCATTCATCAGCTTTACAAGCCTGGCATGAGTCTCGTGAAGAGGTTCTCCAGGAGCAGCTTTGAACTAGTCATAAGCCATTAGAATAGCAGATTTCTTGGTTTTTAGGCTTATGCTCGTGCCTTGGAGTAATTTTTCAATCTCGTCCCACATTTCTTTTGCAGTTTGCATACTGTCAATCATCACGTACACTTCATTGGGGATGGCTTGGAGGAGGTATGTTTTGGCCATAAGGTCTCCTCTCAGCCTTAGTTTGTCTGCTTCAGTGTATTCAGACGGCCTCTTTCGTCTTGTTTCCGGAGGAATGGGTGGATTATTAGTTGAGTCCCCTCCTACGTCAATCATTAGTACAGCTGGTCCTTCCAGGAGTGATTCCAGCATTGCGTCGGAGTTTTCTTTGTGTTCTAGGAAATTCAAGAAACGAGTTCTCCACATTTGGTACTCCCCTTTCCTCAGAGATGGAGGAGTACTGCTGTTTCCTTGCGCATTGGATTCAGAAGCCATTCATGTAGCTGTAGAAAACTGACCGTTCGAGAAATAAGATCAGAAAATTTACTAAGTCAAGAACTCGAGTTCCTGAGTATTAAAAGCCTAAACTCGAGGTCTGGGAACTCGAGGTGAGAGTGCGAGTTTATGAACTCGAGGTCAAGAGTTCGAGTTTCCAAAACTCGCGGTGTAAACTCGCAGGGTCAAAACTCGTGGTCAGACTGCGAGTTTGCAGACTGCGAGTTTGTAGGCTGCGAGTTGTAGAACGCGAGTTGTAGACTGCGAGTTCTTGAGCTCGAGTTTGTAGACAGCGAGTTTCTCAACTCGAGTTTGCAGCTGCGAGTTTATGCAGTAACACCTTGGGCTGCGAATTCCTGAAAAAATAAAACTTCAGATTTTCAGAAAAACAAAAATGGTAGGTTGTAGCCCTTGTTGTAGAGATCCTTTTACCCAAGTTTCAGGTCAAAAAGCTGCACAGAGCTTAGAGAAACGAGGGGTGCGAGTTCTTGGGTGCGAGTTTACAGAGAACGAAAAAATGCGGAAACGAAAAAGGAAGATATACTGCTTGATCGTCTTTGAAACGCGATTCTAACCGTATAACTTTTACAGTATTTGGTGCAGAAATAAGATTACAGATGATAAACTCGCTATTCTACAAAAACAGAGTCTTTCGCAGATAGTTCTTCTGATCAGCTCTCGATCGGCTCTGATACCATTTGTTAGTCCCTGTTTTCTATAACAACAGTATAATATGGCATACAGATGAAAGATTAACAACAAAGATGAACACAGAAAGATCAAGTGTAAACCTTCTCTGATATACCGTGAACCTTTCGTACAAGAATGATAAGCGCTAAGGCTATTTTGAGCAGATACGAAAGTTAACAGCAAACCTGAGTCCTCCTCCCTCTTTTATAGGCGAGGCTCAGGTATGCGTAAAAAGGCTTCTCGCCTGAGTATGGGCCCAACACTTGGCCCATATTGAATACTATTCTAACAGATATATTTAATCAGTACAGAATAGAAATAGTAAACATCTAACTTATTACAGACAAAACAGACAAACTTGATTCACAATAAAATAGTCTTCAACATCTACTCTTATTAGTAATTTTATTTCTCTACTAGGGGAATATTTTGTTATGAAAGATTTAGGGGATATTCATTTTTCCTTGGGGGTTCAGGCTATGCGGAATTCTTCTGGTTTATTTTTGTCTCAGGCCAAATATGTGTCAGATCTTCTCACCCGGTTTCGTCTTCATACACTTAAATCTGTTCGCACGCCTTTACCTACTAGAACCAAGCTATCTCTCACTGATGGTGAGTTACTTGCTGATTCTACTGAGTACCGTAGCATGGCAGGTGCATTGCAGTATTTAACTATGACTAGACCTGATATTACATATGCTGTTCACTTGGTGTCTCAATTTATGCATGCTCCTTGTACCTCACACATGTTGGTTGTTAAGAGAATTTTCAGGTATCTATAGAGCACTAAAACTCATGGTTTACATCTCCGACCGTCGCCGCACCCACACTCGGTTCTGGCATACTCCGACGCTAATTGGGCTGGTTATTCTGATAATAGTCGTTCCACGTCTGGCTATGCTGTTTTTCTTGGTCCTAATTTGATTTCATGGCGGTGCAAGAAACAGCATACAGTCTCCCGCTCATCTACTGAGGCTGAGTATAGAGCCATTGCCTACACAGTTCAGGATACATTACACATTCGGTCCATTTTATTTGAGCTCAGCTTTCCTCTTTCACGCCCGGTTCAATTGCTATGTGATAATGTATCTGCTTCATATTTATCTGCTAATCCCATCTAGCATGCTCGCAGTAAGCACATTGACATTAATTACCATTTTGTTCGCGAACGTGTGGCTCATGGTGATCTCCTGGTGCAGTATGTTCCTACGAAGTTTCAGTTAGCTGACATCTTCACCAAGACTTTGGCTCCTCAGCAGTTTTTATTTTTACGAGACAATCTACGCATAGTCCTCCTGCATAGATTGAGGGGGTGTAATAGTGAAATAATTAGAAGTTTATTATTAGTCAGTTACCTTATTGTACTTGGACACTTATTACCTATAAATATACTCCCACGGCTACCAGTCTGGTTAAGCCTGTTCATTATTCTCACATGTAGCCCATTGTGTATTATTACATAGTTATTTAATTAATATTAGGAAAGTGGTGTATCACATTCCTAATGTCGGCTCAGTATCTCTTGTACTGTTCTGGGATATCAAACGCATATGCGTATGTATCCCAGTCTGATACAGTCGATCAGGAAGTTTGGCTAAGCTTGTATTGCATCCATACATTCTTTAAGAGAAGCTAGAGCTGCGCTGCTGGTTTCAGGAGTTGTTCTGTTCGTCTTATTCTTATTACTTATTGCATATTCTTATTTTATTCAGATCAGAAAAAATTAAATCAAATCAAAAAGATTCTAATCAGATTAAATCAGAAGCATTCATATCAGATCAGAAAGATTCAGATCAGAAACATTTAGATTAGATCACAAAAGTTCAGACATGATTTATCCCTTTTATAATAATAATAATAGTAATAATAGTAATAATAATAATAATGATAATGATGATGATGATGATGATGATAATAATAATAATAATAATAAAAATAATAATAATAATAAAAGTTCAGATTAGATTTTATTATTATTTTTATGTAGTTTTTTATTACATACTTATTTGTACCTTATTTATTAATTAATATATTACAAATTGTGTGATTAAAACTTGTTTCATGAAATTGAAATTATATTGAATATCATATGTTTTCTTTAAAATAGATGTAAAAATAGGTTTTAGGTGAAAAGAAAAATAAAGTATGTACACAGTGTAATATTTTGTGGAGTGAAAAAAATTGTAGAGTGGATAATTCGTTATTAAGTTGATTTCAGACTTATTATTCATAATAGGGAAAGTTCCCGAAATATGACTAAAACAATTTGAAAATTCCAAAATAGGACTGTCATGTTTTTTATTCCCAAAATAGAACTCATTACTGGCATATTTAGAAAATACTTCCATGTTTGAAGTCTGGTACTGCGAAAACATGGCAATAATTAGTCCTATTTTGAGAATAAAAACATGGCAGTCATATTTTAGAATTTTCAAACTGTTTTAGTCCTATTTCAGGTAATATTCTCTTCATAATATTGTTCACTATTCACTGTTTGTGAATGTGTGTGATATATTATTTCAATGTAAATTCACTCCCCTTGAAAATATTCATGTATATGCCACTGCCCGTAAAAATAAAGAGTAATATTTTATTTAAGTATAAACATATGGTATTATTTTTATATTAAGTATTACAGAGTACATTTTAATCTTGTTCGAAATTGATTCTGTCTCTACTTCTTTTTAAAAGTCACAACCAGAATCGAAATCAGTTTTCTAGAAGTTGGTCCCCCAAGCTTCTAAAAAACAACGTCTAAGAGCAATATGGAGCATTCAGAAAGTACTTGCACCTAATCACTCCAATATCTGCTTCTGATCCCTGAAGAAGCACAAACAGTTTTCATAAGTAGATTCAAACGCCCCCTTGGCCATTTTTTAACATGTGCATAAAATCCCTTCATGTACAATTGATGATACCATGAACGACCCCCTCTTCTTTGTACCCATGGATGACCTGTAAAGATTTAATTTAATTGTGAGAGTAGTAAGAGTTGAGATTGAGGAAATAAATTTTAATGGTAGTAAGCGTATTCAATCCTCCGTATTATATAGAGTCAAAGGCAGCATGAGGGTAAATTCACTAAAGCTACGGTTTTTACCCGCACGAGTAGCGCAATTGGTAAATCGGTGGAAAAGTTGGACAAATGACCAAGGATCAAAATCTGCAGCGACCGTGTGGAGGTCATAGCTCTTGCTGGGCTGGGCCTCTGATGCGCATGGGTATAAAGTCTACCACCGTTAGGATTGGTTGAGTCACCGTAACTTACAACCTCTCATATGCTCTGTCGGATCGGGGCGTGGGGGGTCTTTGGGGTTGGGATTGAGGATTCAACCTTTTGGACAAACTAAAGCTAATGCTTTAGGTTCAAATAAGGAGGGCTTTTCACACCATTAAAGATTTAAAGTGATTCAACACCATCTAGTAAGGAACTTAAGTCGTCAAACATCGGTCACACTTCATATCTTAGAGAATAAAAAACATTTAGAATTGTCACCTTTAGATCATTTCCCATATTATTAAAATTATATCAAATTTTGAGAAGCTTTAATATAAAACCTCATATATTACTCTTTATTTTCTCCATCTACTAGACAACCTCCATAAGTATCAATAATGCTACTTATACATATTCTTTCAGTTAACTGTTCGGTCGGTGCCGGGGGCCTTCAGGGATGGGATGTCATCTTTTTTTTTTAAATAATGCTACTTGTACACAAATGTTGTACACACTTCCCACACCCTATATAAAATCCCCACTTTTTTATCCCTCCTTCTCTCCCCTCTCATCTATACGAACACCTTCCCCGTTTCCTCTTCTTTTCCCCCATTTTCATCACCTTCACATCCACCATCACCATCTCTCCATCTTCTTCGTTCATTACACCTCCATCTTCACCATCTCCATTCTCTTCACTACATCTCCACCTTCACCATCTCCATCATCTTCCACTTCCATCTGTCTCACCCCATATTCATCATCTCTCATCTTCATCATCTTCCATATTCATCACCTCATCATCTTTACCATTATCATCTTTTAGAGTCCATTTGAGAACAAAAAATTTGTGTCGCCGGAATTAAAGACGCAAGAAAAGTATACATGAACATTCACAAAATTTTTGTTGTGTATACAGACACTCCTTTTTTCAATATTCATGTACACAGACAAAATTGTTAAGAATAGACAAAAAAAATACAAATTGTCTGTGTACATACAAATAAATGTCTGTGCGTAGACATTGTTTTGCATGATGTGTCGCAAAAATTCCAGTTGGGTTGCACGGAAACCAACGTCTGTACACAGACATTTAGTTGTCTGTATACAAACAATTTTTAAGTTTTTTTGTGTTTAACAATTTGTCTGGGAACACAGACAAAATTATACAATACAAACAAAAAAAATATTTTTTTACAAACAAAATATAAAAATTGTCCATGTACAGACAACTAAATGTTTGTATATAGAGATTGAGTTCCGTGTTGTATGGCAGAAATGACAGTGTTTGGTTGCACGAAAATCTGTGCACAAACATATAGTTGTCTGTACACAGACAATTTCTACATTTCTTGTTCGTTTCATACGGAGTAACATTTTTGTTTAAGCACACAGACACTAAAAAAATCAATGTCTTTATACACAGATAAAAATTTCAGCGAATTAACTCTAAATTTGTGGTGACTTTCCGGCGAGTCAAATTTCTTGTTTTTCCGATTCTAGAAGCTAATAATGGTAAAAATGATGAATTGATGGATATGTAAGATGGTGAAAATGATGAGATGATGGGTATGGAAGATATGGAAATTGAAGATGATGGAGACAGTGAAGATGAAAGATTATAAGATGATGTTAGTGATGAAAGATCAAGATGAAGAAGATGAGAGATGATGAAAAGTTCTTTGGTGAAGAAGGATTTGATTCTATTAAATTGGAATCTAAACTCTTTAAGTTCGGAATAAAAAACGAGGAAATCACAATTTTTGAGATCAAGAGATCTCAACTTCACAAGATTAGTTTTAATCTTGAACTGGCTCCTCAAATCATCCGTTATATTTATCAGCTCACAACAGAAGATTTTTTCTGTCGGCAACTGAGGCGATTTGGACCTATCTCGGTCTCATCAAATTTTAACAAGGCTGGTGGCTTCATAACAATTGCCAAAGATAATGGATATTTCATTGCGATCCCAGTGGGTCCACAAAATTCAGGGCTACTCGATTTTCTAGGGATATTTTCAAACTTCGTGGGAATTTCTAATTTAAGCTGGAGGAACCAATGCACCGCTCTCAAGAAACCTCGTTAATTACAATGGAACCCACATCCATATCCAAGCTCATTTTTGATTTTCAAATTCAGGGAGCCTATCTAGAGAAACATTGGTCTCCACCTTCCGAGAAACAGAACATGCTTATTCAGGCATTTTCAGATGCTTCAGTCTGCTTTTACCACTCAGATGACTCGTTTTACATGGACGGCTTTCTGGGACATGCTACTGAAAGTGACCGTCGTCCACCTATCTCAACTCCAGCAGAAATTAAGAAATCAAAATTCAACAGGGCAATTTGCAGAAAATCCAAGTTTGTTACCGCAGAAAACTATCTGCCGACAGAAAATTTGAACACACAACTCAAAAGATACAGGAAATCACAAAAAAACAAAAGGCGCCACAGTATGAAGACTAGGTCTCAGTAGGGAATTCCCTTGGATTTAGTTTTGAGGCTTTTCCTTCCCTGCACTTTTATTGTTTTTATTTTCTTTCCTTAGTTTATTTTTCGCATTGTACTAATTTTACTCTATCAATAAAAATTTCCTTTTTCCAAAAACAAAAAAAAAGATAGGAGATGATGAAGATAGAAATGGAACAAAGAGAAAGAGGAAGGAGTTGGTTGGGGGAGAAGCGTATGGAAGAAAGAAACAAACAAAGAAGAGAATGGGAAGGGGGAGATGTAAAAAGAAAATGGTAAAAATGGAGAGGTATTTGTACACCCTTATACATAAAGAACCCTTTTTGACTCTTCTATACATAGGTGGTCTGGTATCGCTCCTCTATTTAGTATGGCCCACCAAATTGATTCAACATGCAAATTTGTCAGTCGTTGAAACGTTGAATTGATCTAATGGTTCAAACACATGGTGACATTTTAGTAATAAAACCAAACTAGTTTCGGGTGCCACTGTTTATTTCATTGCAGATAAATTTGCATCACATTAATTATTAATATGCAATACATATAGGGTAAAGATGCATCACACAAAATTTTACACAATAAATACACTTTGTACTAGATCCGCCCCTATAAATATGTCAACAATGCATCAAATTTGGTTAGAAAAGCATTGCATTTTCGTAATTAAGTGGAAAATTTTGGCACCACAAAAACTGCAATATGGAACCAAAATGTGATTAAACACATTTTTTATTTGAACCACACTCAATATAATTTTTCACAGTGTATATATATGTATATACACACACTCACACACACATAAGGAGCCCTTTTTGACTCTTTTAAAATGGGAAAATTGCCCTTAAAGAAGTAAAATAATCTCAAAATGCAACAAATAAGATTGTTAAGTTCCACACTGGATATCTATGAGAGAATTAAACACTATATTAAGATCTAAGTTATTCCTCCTATCAAGTTGACCTTTTAGGATGAAATCCCAGATCTTAACTTAGTATAAGAGCCAAATCGATCCATAACCATGGTGTGTGCCCCTTATGAAAAATGATGGCACAATTATAAAAAAGTGCAATGACGAATTGATGAAAAAATAAATGACGGCACAATCTAGACAAAGCGTCTAGTCGTGATAAGGGGTGTTAAAGTCCCACACCGATATCTATGAAAGAATTAAACACTATTAATATCTGAGTTACTCCTTCTATAAAGTTGACCTTTTAGGATGGAACCCAGATCTTAACACACTATAATGTTAATGTTCCCAAAATCAGATTTAATTGTACCCCACTTGCACATTCTACCTCTACCATAACTTCATGAAAAGTAAGTTTTCATTTACAATAAAAACAGAAAAATATTTTAGTTTATACTCCATAATAAAATTGTAAAAAAAACTAAAAATTTAAATAAATTAAAAAACATACTTCCTCCGTTCTCTTTTAATTGACCAATAATATCTTTCATTCCTTATTAGTAAAAAATGTAAAAAATTCATATTTTGAAAATTTAGAATGAGAAGAATTTAACAATATTTTTTAAAAAGTTAATTTATAATACATTAATTAATACAATATAGTCAAATTAGAATATGTGAATAGTGCAAAAAGTCCAATGTTGCAATTAAAAAAGAACGGTAAATAAATAATTGATGCTCATAAAAAAAATATGGAGCGCTCTCTTGCCATTTCTACTATCTCTGATTGCCAAAGAAATGTCATCTTCTATATAAAAGAGCTTTTGCTATGAAAATGATATAAAGATGACATTATTACTTTTTGAAAAGCCAAAACTTGCTCTGGAATTGCCATCAAGAAGACCTTTTTATGGAAGTTGGCATTTTTCTAGTGGCCAGAGCTGGCGGTGCGGGAAGGTGGTTGAGGCGGTGGTGGGGCCCTCCATAATGCTTTTAGTTTATTTACAATAAATTATTTACTTTTTATTATTTAAGACTTAGTTTTCAATTTTTTAATTTTATATAGTTTAGTTATTTGTAAATGGAAAATCACATTTTCTGCCCGTCAAATAGTATTACATTGAAATGTAGTCCCCATATATTCAAATTTTGAAAAGTTACCCTCAATTGTCCAAATTGTTGTACATGTGATCCTTTGAGGGGTGACATTTACAATGTGGGCGATGAACACATTTACAATAATTCGCACGGTTCTGGGGTGACATTTACGCATTTAAAAACACATGGAACTACCTTCCAATGCAGCACTATTTGAAGAATTGAAACTGCGTTTTCTTTTCTCTTTATTACATTTTTATTATAAATAATAATATTTAATTATTGTTATGTTTTTATTATTAATAAAAAGTATGATTTACTTATTAAAATATGGAAAGGGTAGGATAAGAAAAGTTACTCTAATCAGGGAATTTAATACTTATGATTCTATTATATTATTAAAAGGGAAAAATAATATAATTACCCCAAACTTTGAAGGGGTGTGATAAGTACCTCGAACTTGCATATGTAATATATATACTCCGAACTTTATATAAAAAGTTATTTTCGCACTCTGATTGTATGCTTTTCTTACAAGTTTAAATTTATTGGAAGAAGTACATAATTTAAAATAATCTAAGCTTTGTTTGAATGCAATTAACATTATAAAATTTCTTTTGTGAAATAAATAATAATACATGGGATACAATCTTATTGTAATTGCATCCTCATAAAAACACATATGAGGAAAAAACCTAACACATGTAGTATTTAATCAGTGTGCTAACTACATAACTTTTTATATAAAGTTTGGAGTATATATTACATATATAAGTTTGGGTGTTTACCTCACACCCTTTCGAAGTTTGAAATATTTAAATTATTTTTCCCTTATTAAAATTTAGCATTTATTTATTCATATATTTGGAGAATTACCCCTTCAAATATTTGAATTTAACCTACATTAATTAATTGATTAATAAAAAAACTTACTAAGAACTTGATGAGCGGTAAGTCGTTCATTTGGATTTGGATTAAGCATTTTTTTTACCAGATCTTTAGCTTCATTTGAAACGTCTGGCCAAGGAGGGCGCTCGTAACAAACTTCAGCATGAATAATTGCTTCACGCAATTCATCTGTATTATCTGAATGATAAAATAACCATTAAACGTGAGTGTATAAAAGAGAATAAATTGAAAGAAGCAAATTGCAAAAGCATTGTCTTTAATAATCTGAAATTTGATAGATCGACTTAAAATAGTTTAGCATGAGGGTGCATGTTTACCTTAAGACTCTTTAATCCCACTTTTTTGTTTCATAATGTGGATCCTCAGTACTCTAACATCAGTTAATATATGTCAATTCTGCTTCTAATTACTATTGGTATTTGGTGCCCCACACATAAGTTCATTTTTTGATGTTTTAATAGAGGGAGAATTTGAGTTTGCATCTACTTTTATTGTTCAAATTGGACTTTGTACTACGTTTTTCAAAAAACTTTGTTTTTGTGTTCCAACCCCGAATGAAAAGACAAAATTGCCTCTCCATTAACAATTCTATTGGCCTTCAACATACTCCTGATCGAGGGACATTTTTGCATGTTCATACGTGGTTGAGGTGCAATTACAAAGTTTTTAAAAAACGGGATGCAAAGTTCAATTTGGACAATAAATTAAAATGGGGTACAAAATCAAATTCTCCCTTTATTAAATATTGTTAACATCGACTACTAGTTATTCGACAACACTATTACTCCCTTCATCCCTTAAAACTTTGTCATCTTTCCTTTTTGGAACGTCCCAAAAAACTTTGACACTTATCCTTTTAATTAATTATTTAGTGGTTTCTGTTATTTCTCTTTCCTCTGCACAAACCTCAACCACACAGTTTTTACTTTATTATTTTCCATACCGGTCAACTTTGACAAAATTTTAAGGAACGGAGGTAGTATTTTATAACACGCAAATAATTTATTTTGAACAATTTGTGTTAAACTGTTTTTACTTGGATTGTTTCCAGTCCCAGACCAGACCAGTCCAAACTCCAGACCAGTTCAACTAGACCAGACCAGACTTGGATAGTTATAAAATATATAGACATCAGACGTTCCCAGACCAGACCAGACCAGTTCAAATCAGACCAAACCAGATCAGTCCAGACCAGAAAATTTCAATCCAAGTAAAAACATCCTTAATACAAGTATTTATTATTGAAGTGCTAATTTATTATATTTCGTAGATTTTATAATATACTAGTAATTCGTAAATGTTAGCGGTTAAAATTGATTTAGTTTGAGGATCTTGACAACAAAGAAGAAATTTAAATTTGGAATAGAGAACATATGATATGAAAATATGTAGCCAAAACATGGAGTTTGGGTGTATTTGGAAAATGACATTTCCTTCAAAAGCTAGCAGGTTAGAGCTTTTATCAATTATTCAATATCAACCGCACAATTACATAGACTTTTTCTTAAAAGGTTTGCCACACCCTCTTGTTCCAAACATAGTGGGACATATGTAGTACTTTTTAGTGTATTATTGGAACTTGGAAGGAATTACTAGGATAAAAATTCCACAAATAGTATTGTGTTTGATTTCACGTTTTGAAATAGAAGATTATCCACTAAAAACTACGACAAAACAACCAAATTATCAAATATCTAGCTCTGTGCAACTCATAAACTCATTCCGCTAGTCATTCAAACAACAGAAATGCAATCAACAATCATCAGCTAACATAATCTGTTAATCGCTAATTGCATATCACGTCATTTAATTGAGTGTTTGCCTTTAATTATGTAGGAGTACTGTTAAGACCACTACCATACCTTTTCTGAAAGGAGCTATACCACAGAGAAGAATGTAGAGTATGACCCCGGCGGCCCAAATGTCAACCTCTGGATCCTGATTGTTGCCCATTAAAACTTCGGGAGCCACATAGTGTCGAGTGCACGAACTAAGTTTACATGTATCGCCTAGATAACATGAAAAGTAAAATACAAAAACAAATGTTACAAATTACAATAATATATAAGAGTATATCCAAGTCAAGTATAAAAAATTAATACTGCCAAATTTCGACTTTTATGCCCCATATTTAACTAGCCTTAATTATACTCGGTATTATTTAATTTGTAACTGGCGGTTTCTAAACGTTTCAAGTGTTTCATTGACCTGGGTAATTTTCTCCCCAAAAGTAACATTATATTAGTTTCTTACTTTCTTTGTGTGTATAAATAAGTTGTCAATTGAACTCTTAAAAAATACGGAAGTCCCTTTTAATGCCAAACCAATTGTTGAATTAGGATGTTTTTACTTTTGGACGGTAATTTGCTGGTCTAGTCTGGTCTGGTCTGATCTGGTCTGTCTGGTCTGGTCTGGTCTGGTCTGGTTTCTTTGTATTTTCATAACTATCCAAGTCTGGTCTAATCTGGTCTGGTCTGAACTGGTCTGATCTGATCTGAGACGAATTACGGTCCAAGTAAAAACATCCTTATTCTTCACCAAATATATCAACAAAAAGTATTTTCTGTATACACGGCATGGGCTGATTTGAATAAAACTTTATTCTCATTTTGTTGCGTTGTTTTGTATATATATGTGGATATATATTGGCATCTATGCGTGCTGAAAAATGATTTGAAGGATTCAAGGAGTAACAAGTACACTCTAATGTTTTTATACTTTTCTGAAAAATTCATCTTCAAAAAATTCTATACTAAAACCATAATATTGTCTTTGGGTTCATATATTCTTTTATTCTCGTTAGTTTTGTGACCGGTTTTATAATTGAAGGGCTCATAATTATATCCTACAGAAAATTTTTGAACGCTAGAAATAATTCCTTAAGACAGCGTCTAACACGTCTCGACCTACTAATATACTTTTAGTTCTTTTTAGTAAATATTATGTAAGTCAATTCTCCGAGCTAGATAATTAACGAGGTCAACTTACGAGCAACTCGGTCAACATGTTGATTTCGTAGGAATAAAGCCAAAACTACTAAGATTTGATCTATCATGTTTTGCACGAGTCTTTATATTTTGCGAAGGGTTTATCAGGTTTTAGAAGAAAAAATAACTCAAGATGAAATTTAGAGAAAATGAAGGACAGTAAAGCATGAAAACAGCTATTTGGACAAACATCCAACTCACAACCTTGAATTAGAATAACATTTTGTCAATGATTTGAGCATATGTTTTTGAATACAAATACATATGAAATCAATCAGGTCTCATGAGAGATATAAATAAAGTAGCTACAAGTATTGTGAAGACATCGTGACTAGAATATGAGAAGATCAAGGTGAAATCAAACGTGTAAGATAGATAATCAGTATGTTGTTGAAATTTCAGGATGAAAACCTCTCACCATTTCAGTCTGTTGAAATCCCATACCAAAAAATTGTGAAGTAATAAAGTGCTATATTAAGATCTAAGTTACTCCTCCTATCAGGTTGACCTTTTAGAAAGGAAGTTCAGGTGTTAACAGGGTATCAGAGCCAAGTCCGATTGTGATTTAACTGCTCGTTTAACACCCATGATTAAGGGTAAGCTTGTTAAGGGTCTATTTGGCCCATTTATACACCCCGATATTGTCAAGCCCTGTTCAGACTGATGGGCGTGTTAAAGCATTTGTCTCACACCGGAAAGCTATAAAACAATAAAAACACTATATAAGACTCTAGGCTACTTCTCCGATCAGGGTTAACCATTTTGGATGGAACCTCAGATCTTAACATGGTATCACAGACAAATCGATCCATAACCATGTTGTGAGCCCCCTATGAAAACATCACAATGAATATAAAAAAATGACAATGATGAACCGATGGAAAAAATGAATGATGACACGATCCAGACGACGTGTCTGGTCGTGACGAGGGATTCTGAAGTTCCACATCAGAAAATTTTGAAATAATAAAGTATCATATTAAGATCCAAGTTACTACTCCTATCAGATTTAACTTTTAGAATGGAACATCATATCTTAAGACGGTCATATATTTTCATGGGATGGTTCAAATGCTATGATTCAAATTGTGATGGAGAGAAAATATCATGATCTACAACTTTGTAAAGAAGTCATTGCCAAAATTAAATCGAGATGCATGCAAAGATATACTCCCTCCGTCCCATTTAGTAGAACTATTTTTAGTAAATAAAATTTACATATTCAGAAACTACATTAAAACCGCTACAAAGCCTGATCAAGAAAATTTAAATTTGATAAAAGTTGGATATATAAAGTAAAAGATTAAGAACAATGCACGTTGACCGGAGAATAGTGGATGGGAACCTTTAAATGGGACGGAGGGAGTATATACTAATCGGGATCTTTACTATATACGGAGTATAATGTTATTTTTTTAAAATTTCAGGGGGCATAGCCCTACCTGACCTAGGGGACTAGGGGTAGATCCACCCCTGCACATAATAAGAGAGGTATTCATGTTTGAGTGGATCCAAACAATAGAATGGACTCAACTGTTCCCGATTCCTTAGTTTGATCTGATTGGTCAGTGACCAATAAAAATTCAACCCAGGCCAACCGGATCAAACACAGAGGGAACTCATATTTCGTGTAATATCTATAGACAAGTTTTGTATTTACATGAAAAATTTGACATTTATCTATAGGAAAAGTACAAAAAAGGTACCTGTGTATGAGCCATTTTCAGATATGGGCACATGTTTCATATTTTCACAAAGTGGGACATGTGTTTCAATTCCGTTATTACAGCTGGATCATGGCGTCTAACTTCGATTTTTGAAAGTCTCCGAAAAATTAAAAGAAAAATATTGGGAGGTGTGCCTCATCAAGGAGATCAACAAACTATCGTTCTCTTTGGATTTTCAGCTCTATTTGGATTATTTTTTAAAAAAGAATTCGCTAATATCACTTTTCCGGTGAAATTTCTAGCAACAGGGTGACTGAAAACAAAAAAAGAAAGATGGTCTGGATGTCTTCTTGATGAGGCACACCTCCTAGTATTTTACGTTTAATTTTTCGGAGATTTTTTAAATTCGAAGTTAATTGTCTAACAACGTTATACGTCATTGTCCCCCAATTGTGATAAGAAATTTGAGACACATGTCCCACTTTGTCAGAAAATGAAACACATGTCAATATCTGAAAATGATCCAAACTAGAGGTACATTTTCTATACTTTTCCCTTTATCTAAATAGAACTAAAACATGTGAAAAGTGTCATGGTAGTACTAATACTTTTGAGTGTAGTATCATACGACTAAAATAAGGATGGAATGCCAAAATTTCCATACACCTCTCTTCTTCTATTCACGAATCACGACCTCCAATTCTCCAAAGCTCCTCTAATTTCTTTCTTCCCCATCATGTAAACCAATGATCAATTGTTTTCTTGTCTTCTGGAATTCATTTTTATTAATCGAGGATTAATTCCATAAAATAATTAATCCTGGTTTATTTAATTTTAAACTTTCAAATTATTTTTCTCACTAGTTGAACATGAAATTGCCATAATTGTTGTGTTATTGAATATTGATTTGAAAAAAATGTCACTATTATGATATTACATAAGATGGTAGTTGTACTGTATATGTTCATTAAAGTTTCAGAGCAAGGTATGACATTTTCGCAGAGTGAAAATGACAACTTCTTGATTACTTCAGAACAAATATGACATTTTTTAAAAGATGAAAGGAAGAATGATTGCCATGTTTTTACATGTGTAAATGCCAATTTCATGTTCGTTATGAAGGCACAACAATTATTTGAGTATTTTGAGTTCACTTTCTATCAGGTAAGTTCACTACCACCTGTACATGTTTGTTCAACCAAATGAAAGAAAGGAGCCTGGTTGATTTTTAGTAGACGATTTTAGACTATTTGCTATTATGTGAGCTTGGTGAATTATTTGACTCACCTCTACCCCACCCCCACCCTTGACTCAACCATACCCCACCCCACCTTACCCCTACCCCTACGAGTTGGGGAGTTGGTATGGGTGGGAGTAGGGGTGGAGGGTAAGGTCGTGGTAAGGGTAGGGAGTAGGGAAGGGGTGGGGGTCAAGGGTGTGGAATTGGGGGTAGGGTGAGGGGTGAGGGTACAGGGCGGGGTAGGGGTTAGGGGTGTGGGTAAGCGACTAAGCATACGTGGTGACCCCATATATTATATTATATACTTGTGTTGATGAATGTTTGTGTGTGTATATATCGATAGGGTTATTTTGGACATTTTAATGTTAAACGGTGTTTTAAATCATTTGAAGTAAACAACAGCTTACAACACTGCTTAGTTTATGCGCCGCTTATTAACGCGAGTCTTAATAAGCACCGTTTACAAACCCGTGAAGTAAACGTGTCCTAAATCTTGATTTTGAACCTCACATTTGATTACAGTTTGAGATGGAAGTGTGCACAAATCGATCTTGTAAAAAACCCACCCATGCGACTATGCAAAGTGTATATAGCACTTATAATTATAGGGCTTTTTCCTTCAATATTATCAATTTCAAGCTCATTTCCACAAATGTGATCATTTTTTAAAAGGACAAAAATGTAACTAAGAATATCACATATTTGGAAAACATTATGTTACTGTATTTTTTATGTACAAATTTTTATGTAACTATTCAATTTTAATGTCACTATCAAATGCCACTGCGGCCACTGCCCGTGTCACTGTGCCGCCGCCCGTGTCACTACTGCCACCGCCCGCGTCACTGCTGCCACCGCCCGTGTCACTACCGCCACTGCACATGTCACTACCGACACTGCTCGTGTCACTGATGCCTTGAGAACATGTCACTGCGATAGTTGGAAAATCTTTTGTGACTTTTTCCGGGAAATCTGTCCCCCAACACCGCCACCCGCCACACTCTCGGCACCCCCTGCTCCCCGTATACCGTCCACTAACCCTGCTCCTCCCCATCCCCATGCCCCAGCCCCTAGCACCCTGTGCCCCCAACCCCCTGACCAACCCCCAAATCCCCTGCCGCCACCGCCGGTGGCCGCCTCCTGCCCATCTCCGCCACCGTTCCGGCTGATAACCGCCGCGCCGCCTGCCACCGCCGCCCCATTCCATCTTCAGCCACTACCGCCACAGTGACGCCATCAGCCACCTAGCCCTAGCCACACCTCTCCACCCCTGCCCCTCGCTAGCCCACACCCCAGCACCCCAACCCCTGTTCACAGCCTCCAACCAAACCAGATCTAGCCCAGATCGAACCCAAATACAACCGCTACACCACACTCCGTCCTCAGCACACTTACAATGGCGGCAGCAGTGTAGCAAGATGAAAATGCCGCTTCATCGAAGCCCCAATCACCGTCCTAGCCACCTGTGGTTTGTTAAAAGCACCGCTGCATCGAAGCCCCAGCCACACGCTGCAAAATCCAGGTACACATTCGGACAGAAGAAGTAGAAGAAGAGAGGTTAAGGCTGAAGGCGGCTTTGGTGATGAAGTCGGCGGCGAATCGGCGAGGTGCGGCGTGGCGGCGAGATGTGGCGGAGAGGTGCGGCATGGCGGTGCGGCGCGGTGCGGCGGGGCAATAGAGACGGAGAGCTCGATGGGCAGGTTGGCGCAGCAATGGAGGAGAGCTCGATCAGTGAAGGGGAATAGAAGAGAGAGGCGCAGAGGGTTGGGGGCAGATCGATGGATTGGGGGAGAGATAAGGTCACTTTTGTGTCCAGTTTAAAAATAATCATATTTTTGTCTTCCCAAACTCTCTAAGTAATACTATCGTACTTTTGTCATTTTTTCATAATTATAATATAGGCTGATGAAAGTATTATAGAAATTTGAAATGAAATAATATGTTGTATAACTGAACATGATAATTAAATATGTTAAACAACTTTATTTATTATATCTAAAACTTCAATCGGGAAGGTATTCAAATGAATTCTTGAAGATAACTGCGCTTTAACAGCGCAGTTATCTTCAAGAATTTATTTGAATGCCTTCCTAATTTAATTGTTAGCTGAAATTTGGTATGAGTAAACTAAACTTAATGAATAAGATTCTCAAAAACTTTCATCAAAAAATTCCACCGAGAACTGCCCCAAATGGCGACGGCCGGACAGAGCCTCCTATATAAGGGCTTATTTGATCTTTTTTTGTTAGTACGTGGGCTTATTTGCCCCTTTTTCCTAAGTTATTTGTGGAGACTCAATGAATTAAAATTTTGTGTTTCATGTTTTTTCGAGCTCATGAAAACTCCAATAGTTAGAACTTCATATTGGTATCATATGAAAGATCATAAAAATTCTTGAATTTTGATATATGGTTTGAAACTTTTGGATAATAAATTAAAAAGTTATAAAAGTTTTAAAAAATAGGGATTATAATGATTCCAGGATGATGCAAGGATGATGTCATCCTCACATCCATGCAATGCATCCTCCCCCTCTTCCTTCCCCATTTCTTTTGTTTTTCCTTTTCATTCCTATCAACACACTTTCTATTTCTAACACCTTCCATCGCTTTTCCCTGTTTTAATACCCCATTTAGTCTACCACTGCATGAAATTAGGAGTCCAAAAATTTCATCGTTAGCATTTTGGACTCCTAATACTACATCATTCCAAATAGTCTTATGAAACACCTCAGTAAGTGTACCGGTGTACACGTGTTCAGACATTATCTATTTATATGGAGTGGAAAGAATAGATCAAAATATATGAGAGATTGTATGCATCACTTTAATTAAAGGCGTAATCTATTTATCCGGCCGAAGAGAAAGATTTAACTTCATCATAACTAATGTTAACTCACCAGGATTGTAGAAAACAGATATCCCAAAATCAATGACCTTTAATGTAGCAATGTTATTAGTGCTTCCACCAAACATAAAATTTTCAAATTTGATATCACGATGTATCACCCCATTGTTGTGCAACACCTGCATTGTAAAAAAGAAACATGTAAACAGCTTTTAAAAGAAATTTAAGAGGTGTATTTTATATGAATTATAGATTTTTTATATAACTAGATTTTTTTTAATTAGTGTGTTTTAAATATATATATATATATATATATATATATATGTATATATATATATATATATATATATATATACACAAAGGAAATTTTAAGATCCATAGACTTTTTATGAATGAATTTTGTTGGTTTATATAACTCTAGCCTATGAATTTTGTATGGATGATATTTATCAATTTTATGGAAAATAGAAGTTTAAAAATCATATTAACTAACATTCTAAAGTTTAAACATCGTAAGAAGTCGAATACATGAATACATGTTAAGTTTCAACATTCTTAAGTTTAAACATCATATTAACTAACATTCTTAAGTTGCTTAAAAATGTAATTATTTATTACTTTTAAAATATTTTAAAGTTAATAAGAAAAGGACACAACCTTTTGAACTTTCTCTCTTTTCCTCTCTTTTCTTTCATTATTTTTCATGTTATTAACTTTTGGGGAATATGGTGGAATAAAGCAAAATGACTCACTAAGTTGTTTGTGCTTCTTTCTTATGAAGCAACAATCGGTGCATGCAATTTTCGCCGCGATTTTCACTATGGGTCAACCGGAAACAGTCTTTATGTGCTTTAGTATAGGGGTAAAACTGTGTACATCCGACCCCCCTTTACCCTATCCACCGTAGGCTGGGAGCCTTTGCAGCACTAGGGTAATGATGATGATGATACGATGACTTTCAAGTTGTCCATTATAAACTACCTTCTATGTCTTTTTTCGTCACAAATGATAAAATAATAAAAAATATATTTTATGTTTTTATTTAACTTTACATTTTGTCCATATTGAGGTATAGCTAGCTCCTTGCTAAGATTTTACATTTGTGAAAGGATAAAAATAACAGTTTTTAATAAGCCGGCCCGATTCTGGAACCGAGTCAATGCGTATATATTTATAATGAGTAAAAGATGAAAGTTAAGGTATGCGGAAGCCTTTGTAGAGAGGAAGAAAAAACAATACTCCGTATATGTTTGGTGTCGTTAACAATGAGTTAAAATTCCGCAAAAATCAATGATTTATAACATTATAAAATTGAAGAGAGTCTGAATACATCCAAACTGTTGAAACCCTTGAATTTTTAAATATTTGCTACCCATTCCCAAAATAAAACACCCCCAAATTAAAGTAATCTTTGTTATAAGAGACATGTCCTGTGATTTGAATTAATTTGACTACTAGTACTATGAGTATTATGTACTAGTAGTTGTAGCGTTTGATATGTTTTTAACTTTATCCAGTTCTACTACGTGACTGTTCAAGAGTGAATCGAACAACCGCGACAGGTTTAGTGAATTTTCATATAGCGTTTTATTACATCATATTTTACCAGTGTAGCTGTGTAGGACTTCAATAAACCAAGTGTGAATCAGACCTTTTTTTAGGTTAAGGGATTGAACTAAACCAACCAACCAAGAACAAGGTTATTTGGCCTTTTATATCTTATAAAATGAGATGAATTAGAGAGCATATATTATATACCTGAATGATTTCCACAAGAGTCCTAATAATTGTTGAAGCCTCCTTCTCCGGTAGCGGCACCCTATGTAGAATATAGTCTAATGTCTTTCCCTTCAACAACTCCGTTACAATGTGCAGTTCATTGTCATCTTCACAAACATCTTTTATAGAGACAATGTTTGGATGATTCTTTAAATGCCTTAAAATCGCAATCTCTCTTCTCACGTGTTCAACCCTGTCCTTACTCTCCAACTCCATTTTAGACATAGTTTTGCAAGCCAATTTCTCACCAGTAGACAAATCTATACATTCGCGTACAACCCCATATGATCCGCGCCCGAGCACTTGGTCATGAAAAATCATGTATTTTTCATTAATCTTCTGCCCTATCGGATTTCTCGATACCACAACCTTCTTTCTAAAAGGATAGGGCGTAGAAAACCAATTGCCCATAGTTTTCACAATTCACTAAAATTGGAGTAAGACTATTATAAAATTAATGTAAAATGGAACTAATTAAAACTAAATGAGCTACAGTATAAAAGATCAGATGACTTTTTGTATGCGACTTCAAAAAAAAGTGTTTTTTTTGTATGCGACTTCAAGTTTATACGAATAGGACTTTACAGATTTCCTAAGGAATGTCACATGTTACGTTTAAATATCAATCGATATAAAGATGCCTTGGAATATGGTTAAAGTATAACTTGTTATCATGATGATAATTATTAATGTTATATAATATGACAAAATATCAATTCGATGAGGTTATATAGAAGAAAAGAGTCCCATAAAGTCGTTAAGATAAATTTATATTTTGTTTAAGGTGAATATGGTACCCATAAAGAAATGAGGATACTGTATGTATAATACATTTGATTGGTCCAAGTGATTATTACTATATTATTGATGTTTAAACTATGTAAATTCTACGGGTATTCCAAAGCTAGCTACTACCATACCTTACGTATGTGGACCAATTACAATGTTGCGATTGAACGATTTCCATATTAATAAATGATGACATAATGATATGAACCACTCAAATGTAATGTAGAGACGACACTCATTTATTTATGATATATCTGAACACTCATCTTAAATTATTCAATTACAAAATTCTAATTGATCCATGTGGACAAAGTAGAGAACCTTAAGGGCACCATATAGAATTTGCTTTGTTATTGTACTAATACTTTAAGTAATACTAGACAAAGTACCCGTGCGATGCACGAGGTGTATCTAGAATAAAATAATATTTTATTTAAAATATGAAGTATATTTTATTATGATGATAGGTAATGTGCATTTTTATCAAACAAAAAAAATATTTTTTCAAATTAGTTTATATGTCGTAGCTTTGAGTTTTACTCCATTTCTAATAGTAGCTATAAGAAAATAAAATATTTGGTTCATATGAAAAATTGCAAGTAAAAATTTAAATAAACGATAAAGTATAACAATAAACTCTATGTGATAATGGATTTAATAATAGTATTATTATTAAGGGTCTTATAAAACTATAAAAAAAGAAAAAATCATCACATATAAAAATTTCAAAAACTTCTTTGTAGGCCACATTATTAGTGGTGTTGATAGCACGACCCTCATCATCACATATAAAAATCTTTAAGCCATTTTTTTGAAGTGACCCATGACATGATAACATAGAATTGATCATGCGTCAAAACATATTTTGAAAGATTTATTACCCATTTGATGCTGAGATTGTCTTTGACTTTTGTTTATCATTATGACAAATGAAACGATAATTAGATTTTGTGACAGAAATTCAAAAACTTTTGACCAACACTTTTAGATGAAGGGACCAATGGCGCATGAAATTTTTGACATCAAAGAAAGCGCAAGGACCAATATATTTAAAAGTTTATAAAAAATACAGAAGTAAATATTTACTTTTATTGCTGAGATGGATATAGTTCATTCATACATCAAAACAAAATGCCAATAAGATATTGCATCCAAACCACTCAAATAATGAAGAAGATTAGTCAAAGTTTCTCATTAGCATAATAGAAAACTCAAACAATTCACTTTGAATAATGGGTCAAATAGTAGAAGGTCTACTTGACCCTTTTCCCATAAAAATACTCAACCGTACATGTCCCATGAAATTTTGCCAACTATTCTTAATTTATCAACATATCTAAAAAAACTTTTTCATTCCCATTTAAAGTAATAAATATATAGTTAATGTTATTTCTTTAATTATCGTCTACACATATATGAACCAGTCTTACTTTATTTTCCGTAATCCTTGTGCAAATCAATTTTGGTGAAGCATTATGAGACATGTGGATTACTTTTTTATCAAACATCATAAAATTTATCAACTTTTACTTGAACTAGTCGATTTTTTTCTTCAGAAAAATTGATTTTTAATTGGAGGTATGATTTATCATCCTAACCAAATATGTTAAATATTTTGATAACATTACACTACATTAAATAAAGAGATATTTTCCTATTATTTAAGTTCCTTATTATTGATAATTCAACATAAAAGCAACCATCTTATTAAACTTAAAATGATTATAAAAAGCTAAAAATTATAAATTGAATTGACTTGCTCAAAATTATTTCAATTGACTACATTTCTTAACTTGCTCAGAACAAACAATTGGCCACAAATTTTATTTCAACAAAAAAGGCAATCATTTATTCAAACTAAGTGATATATATTTGAGTTATTCAAAAAATGAAATGAAGCAAAAATACAACCCAGTGTATATATATGGAGTAGTATCACACAATCGACATAACCACTTTTAATATTATATTAATATTAACACGGAAATGTATATCCACTCTTAATGACATGCATTATTGCCTTAAAATGAGCGGGAATTTTCTCTCCAATAATTGTGCAAACACTGTTACTTTATATTATATAAAGATTTAGTGACTTTAAATACTAAATTAAGTAATTAACTTCTTATGATGATGACAATTAATGTTAAAGAATATGACAAACTTTCAATTCCATGAGATTATATACAAGAAAAGAATCTGCAAAAAAAATATAGAAGAAAAGAATCTGCAAAAAATATAGAAGAAAAGAATCCCTTAGAAGTCAGTAAGATAACATTATGATTTAGTTAAGGTGAATGTTGTTATGGTACGCATAAAAAATTGAGGAAGCCATATTTATAATGAATTTGATTATGTATCTCATATTGGACACTAAATTTTCATAATTCATACTCCTTAGTTTTTAAACATTGACTTATGATTTTCTTCTTCCTTTGATAATTTTTTTTATTCTTATGATGGAGTATATTCCCACATACCCCAAGGGTATCACAATTGCCGGTAGGAAACATTGCGGGTCCATCAAGGGCACAAAAATACCAAGGCCACATCCGAGAATGACCCCGACCCCGACCGCCGAGGTCGGGAAAACAGCAAGCTCAGGGGGCATCCGAACTCGGCGGATAACGAAGTCGTCCGACCTCGACCCCGACCCCGAGGTCGAGAAAACAACAGGCTCAGGAATCAACCGAACTCGGAAACTTATGAGCCCGACCTCGATGCATCCGAGGTCGGTACCAGGTCTGGCCTCGGAAGTCAAACATCTGGTCAACAATAATCAAGCACCGGGCAGTCAACTACCTCAAAAGGTGAAAACATGAGACAGAGGGGCGAGTCCTCTCATCACGGGCCTGAGCTCCCAGATATCGACCTCAGAAATCCCCCAAGGTCTGAATAAGGCGTCGTGGGCTTAGACGAAATCCGCAAGGATACGTCCAAAAAAGGTTGAATCCCCAACCCCAAGGGCCCCCCACCCCGACCCGACAGGATGGTGGGGGAGTAAATCACGGTGACTCAGTCGGCAAAGCGGCAGTAGGCCTTTACCCGTGCGCACCAGAGGGCCAGCCTTATTTCAGGTTCTGAAAACCCCCTTTTGGCCGCTGCGGGATTCGAACCTTGGTCTACGTCCAATTTTTCCCACCGCTCGACCAACTGAGCTACCCGTGCGATATACTTCACAAGGAGATGTCGCCACGTCACCAGGGAATATTCTCAATTACCCACGCTTAACCACACGGGATTCCTGGCAGCAATTCTGTTAGGAGCAAACTCTAATCAGCCAGCTATTGAGGACTCTCTCTCCAATCAGCTTTACACGTGGTTGCTCCCCATCGAATTAGGCTGTTAGTTTGTTAGAGTAGCTTTACACGTGCCCCCCTCCTATTAGACTAGCATCTTTTTACTTGGGCACCAAGTATTGCCTTTTACCTCTTAGTATAAATATCACCTTCCAACTTGTGGAAGGGGATACCAAATCTATCGCACTCTGAATTCTATACTGTTATACTGCCGAAATTACGATCTGCACTTTCCGATCAGTTCACCCTCTCCCTTTTCTCTTATTCTCGGTGGATTCCGGCCACCCCTGATCCGACGATCCATCATCTTATATTTCCTTTCTTTTTTGGTGAAAATAAACTAATTTAATTACACATATAATTTTGGAATTTTTAATTTGAGGTTTCAGAATATATAATTTGATTTTTATTAAAAACTTCTTATATTTACCAATTTAAAAATATATTTAGGATTTTTCATTCATATGATCTTTTATGAACTTTAAGAGATATCAATGTGTTAGTTAAATTGATTTAATAATGTTAAGGAATTCAATTACATTGTTGTTGGGATGATGGGCAGGGTCCAAGACTACCGACCCATTACATCTGAGCTTGGGCCCGACCAAGCTCAAAACACAGTCTGACTATCAAAAATCGGTCCGAGATTGTTTGCTTATTAGCTGGGTCAGCTGGCCCAGTAGCGTCAGTATCTGTTTTTAGATTGGGTCAATCCCAAGTAGCCTTTTGTTATTGGAGTAAACACTTCTAAATATGCCATGCAATCCTATGCCATGCAATTCTCGTGTAACCAGTGGCGGAGCCTGAAAAACGACTCAGGGGGGTCGAAACTCAACCTATATACAAAATGAAAATGGTGAATCATTTTTAAACAATGTCTGAGTTGAATATTTTATATTCAGTTTAGATAAATAGGCACTCGTAGCAATAAGATAGATTGTCTTTGCTCTATTTTTGAGTCGTGTCACGTAAGTATTGAGTGAATTATACCCTATATTTAAAATTTTGGAAAAATGATTTATAGTATGCATCAAATTTTGCTGATTTTACGTTTAAATAGTACCGATTTTACAGAAGTCATAACTTTTTACTCGTAATGAGTTACGAGGGCCATAATATATCAAATCGAAGATATTTCAGAGCTCTATACTCTCAAACTTTCAGCGGGTCAGCGGACCACCCTGACCCCCCCTTGTCTCCGCCCCTGCGTGTAACCCAATGTTATTTCTACTATATTGAAGTGTCGTCGCTTTCTCTCACAAGCTATTTTGTACCAATATTGGTGTGCTTTCATTGAGGGGTTTCTCTCACTTATTTTCAATGTAGAATGTTGAATATTTAGTTTTGTTGATGACTAACCATGCAGGAACGAAAGAAGGAACTGTTGATGACTAACCATACAGGAACGAAAGATGAAACTATCCTATGATATAAGTGCACATTGGTTCTACTGATAACTAACCCTGCAGGTAGACCAACGGAT